AACAGGTGAAAACACTTGAAGTTTGCGCAATATAAATGTCAAATTAAAATTAAATAATTTTATTAAATTGCAAAATGTAAATTTATAAGTTAATTTTCTGTACACGTGGTAAAATTTTAGTTTTAATTTATTTCACATTATTAAGTAACTTTTTAAAATGGCTTGATTTTAAATTTATAAAGCTGTTGAATGTGAAATTTGATACTTGAAGTTTGTGCAATATAAATATCAATATTAAAATTAAATGATTTATATTAAATTGCAAAAATGTTAATGTTATAAGCTAATTTTCTGTACATGTGTAAGAATCTCGTTTAATTATTAATTTATTTATTTTACCATGTTTCAGTAACTTTTTATTTAACTACTTGATTTTGAATTTAAAAAACCGTTGAATGTTGAATGTGACAGGTGAACACACTTGAAGTTTGCGCGATATAAATGTCAAATTAAAATGAAATAATTTAAATAAATTTCAAAAATGTTAAAATTATAAGCTAATTTTTGTATATTGTAATATTTAGTTTAATTTATTTCACCACGTTTTAAAATATTCAATATTATTTTTACATTGATAATTTTTAGGTTGACATTATGTCACCCAAACGTCATCTTTGTTTTCTTACCTGGCAAATGTCTTCAGCATAAATTTATTTCTATATATTTATTTAATTTAAAATGACTTTAACAATTTGTAGGAGTTTTTCAAATTTTAGAAATTGTGTTATACCTATAGTAAATAATAATAGGCATACTAATAATTATTGTACAGTGCAATTTTCGAATAGGAATGAAGAAAACAAATGTTTTGTTATACAAGATGTAATTAATAAATGGAAGAATGAATTTGAAGTGTCGGATATTTCGGAACCTAAGCAATCTATTGAATATATATTGGCACATGTGCTGGCACACAAAACAGTAAGAGGGAAATGACACATAAACATATATTTAACATTATATATTTATATTTATTTCTTAGATTTCAGATGTGAATAAAAGCTGCCACCGGCACGTCTCAACAGCCCAACTAAAGTTAATCGATAAGTTATGCCAATGCCGAATGGCACACATGCCCGTGCAATACATTATAGGAGAATGGGACTTCAAAGACTTAACATTAAAAGTGGTACCACCTGTATTTATACCACGACCAGAGACTGAACAATTAGTCGATCTAGTTTTACAACATTTCATAAACAAATCCTCAATGTCTTTGAAAATACTTGAAATTGGCTGTGGTTCTGGGGCTATTATCTTAGCATTGTTGAAACAACTACCAAAGGTAAAAAAATAGTATGTACATTTTAAATATATAATCACATTGTTTATGATATTTTTTAGCTTAAGGCTACAGCAGTGGATCAGAGTCTCCACGCTTGTCGAACAACGTTAGATAATGCTTTGGCTTTGGGATTATCAGAGCGTTTGCGTTTATTGCAAGCGAAACTGTCTGATGATAATTTGTTGACTCAGGTGCTGGAAGGGCCTTATGATTGTGTCGTGAGCAACCCTCCTTATGTACCTACAGGGGATTTAGTTAAATTGCAACCGGAAATCAAATTGTATACAAATAAATTTACTACTTATATATATATTCATATATATATAAATATCTCTTTGCTTTTTTTTAGATATGAAGATTTAAGAGCACTAGATGGTGGCCCCGATGGACTGACTGTTATAAAACCAATATTAAAACTATGCTCACAGAAATTAATTATAAATGGAAGTGTCTTCTTAGAAGTCGATACAACACATCCAGAATTATTAGCAAAATGGTTGCAAGAGGAAAACGATAAGCATAAATTTAATTTAAGACTTAAGGATGTATATAAAGATTTTGCTGGTAAAAATAGATTTGTTAGAATCGAAAGAATTAGTTGAATGGGTATGGATTTAGGTTTAAATTTATACTTGACATGGTAAATGAATTTATTTATAATGTAAGAAGTTGTTAATTGACTTTCTTATATATATATATATATATATATATATATATATACTTGATTTTTATACCTTTATTTGTATTAATGAATTACTTTGTGAAAGATGATTAATAATTTTGTAAATTCAGATAAATGAAATAGATTAAATTAAGAATGTTTATACACATGAAATATTTACTAAAATATTATTTATTAAATATTTCTGATTAATTTTCTATAAAAGAAGTACTTTAAAATTGTTTGGCATCGTTATTGATAAAGTTTGAATTTGTACAAAAAGGGCTACAATTATTTTAAAAACCCTAAAACTATTTAAAGAAACTCTATAGGAACTGTTAGAAATTACAATCAAAACTCGATATTATTTTAAGCTCTTTTGAAGTACATACATTTTGTATCTTGTCTGAAAATCTTTAAATATTTTATTAAAACAAATACAACTTAAACAAACTTGAGTCATGTACATCATTCTTTAATAATAGTAAAATCTGCATCAAGTCGGTATTCTTTTAAGTTATAATTGAATATTAAAATTAAATCCTAATGAGACACTTTGTGCAATCCTTTTTTTATATTGGCCATAACTTTAAAACTATTTGATTTGCATGAAAGATGTATTTGGAAGTTTGTACAAAATTAAATAATCTAGAAGTTTTATTAATAACAAAAAGTTCTAAAGCAACTTGGTATACTCTAAAATCATTGTTGAATATTAAAATGTAACAATGATGTAATTAAATGCAATACTTTTATATATCAGTTATACCTTCAAAACCCTTCGAATTATACGAATTATGTATTTGGAAAGTTTGTACAAAATTATTCAATTTAAAATTTTTATTAACACCAAAATTTTTAGAGCAACTCGGTATATCCTGATATACTTGAATTGATATTGAATAATGAAGTGCAATTTTATGATATACAACTCTTAAAAGCCATTTGATTTATATTAATGATGTATATAAAAAAATTATAACATTGTAATACTCTACAGTAACTTGATGTATCCAAAAATTTATTTTAAGCCATTAAATAATAATAATATTTCTACAAAGGTTTATGTCTAAAAGTAATTCAAAGAAATGATAAAAGAAACTGCAAAACTTATCACAATTAGGCAAAAACTAATTTGTGAATAATTTAAATTAACAAATTCAATGTAAAATATTGAGTTTTTTCCAAATTCAAATTTTCGCTCGTAATTACCTCGTTTATGGCAATACTCGAGGGGATTCCCCGAAGATATTAATAGTGTGGCAACACTACTCCTCTATGAAAAATGACATATGGTTCAATATTGTTCAATGGCTGCCGTTGAGTATTTTACACGATTGCTTTTATGTTATTTACACTTGTTTAAATACACACAAAGCGTTGTTTTACTTAAAAATAAACTCTTGAAGTCTTTAGTGATAAATTGAATAGTTTTTAGACAGTGGCCGAGTTTTTTGTGTGAAGAAATTGTGTTTTAACTGTTAGTAGGACGAACGGTGAGTTGTAGAAATAAAATTATATAAGTGTTTGTTGGTTGTGTTTATACTATTTTTGTTGTTATTTTATATATAAAAATAATATTAAAATACGTTTATGTTATGATATGTCTTTAGTTTCATGATGCAAGATGATAAATCTATATTTTGAGCTATTACATAAATAAATATTACATGAATTTTGTGTGTTAGTAATCGTCAGCCATTTTGTCTTGTTTATATATTTTTGAGTTTTAAAAATATTTGCAAATTGTGATATTTCACAAAATTTTTATTTGTACTTGCCGAGATTATCGAATTACCATCATGTTTAATATTAGTTGCTCACAATAAAAATTTTGATAATATATTTGTCACAATTATTTATTTATTTATTTATTTAAATATAAAGCCCACACATTACTCCAAGAGGACTCAAAAATACAGTTATTTTACATAATGAATAACAATTAAAATATATACAAAATTACAATATATAGTTATTAACATAAAATGCTTAACATAAAATTACATATAATGCAGAATGTAACAATATTATTTATAAACAGAATAAGATAAAATAATGAGATATTTGAAAAGAAAATAAAAAGGTTAACTTGTGCAGATGGAGATTATTTGATTAGGTGAAGTGTTGTGAATATCTATTTCATTATTAATTAAGTTAAAGTTAGAGGACATAAGTAAAATAGGCGAATTTAAGAGAGAATCAGATTTAGGAGTAGGATAATTAAAAAATAATTGTGAACGCGTAGAAAGCCTTGGAACATTAAAGGATATTTGATAAGAATAAGAGGTCAGTCTATAGAATTATTGCAAAGTTTAAATAAAAACATAATTGTACAGATAAATCGACGTGAGGCAAAGGAAGGAATACCAAATTCTTTTAGTAAAGTGTTGTGGTCAAAGCCACGCTCAGGGTGAATTTTATATATTTTATAATAGAGATATTTCAGAAATTTTTGCTGAACCTTCTTTATCGCATCAGAGTTGTTGGTTTGATGAGGATACCAAATAATCGAACCATATTCTAATTTTGAACGTACAATAGAATAGTACATGCAAAGAAGTGCATTGGTAGAACTGAATTGTTTACAATTTCTCAGTATCAAACCTAAAGATTTGTGTGCTCTATTGCAAATATCAGTTATATGATCCGTGAAAAACAAACCAGAATCAAATAGAACTCCTAAATCTGAAATTTTATTACATCTATCAATGCTGGTGTTAGAAATTTTATAATCAAAAAGTATTGGAACGCGCTTATGTGAAAAACTGAGAATCTTAATTATGAAACTATTGTAATACTTCTATAAAACAGCCTAGCCTAACATGACAAATGTTTATTTAGATTTGCATTCATACTTCAACCAGCACACACACTTACCCATACTTACCTATTTTATGTAGTATGTCGTAATGATTTTATTCTAATAATTTATTAAATTTTCTTATTATCTCTTTCAGTTTTGATATGAGTTCTCCACTCGCTGTTTTTGGCACTGTAGCTGCCGTAGGTTTGGGAGTGGTAATGCTGCTTGTGGATATGGCTATAAAATATAACAGAAATTCGAAGCGTCGTAACCGTGAGCACCGTCAGCAAAGGCCTTCCAGTCCAGTGCAGAGTGAAAGGGTTGCTAGGACACCGGAGGACGATAACTCAAGGTAATTATAATAATGGTTAAAGATTGTAGAGTTTGCAATATTTGAATTGAGTCATTTTGAACAAAGTATTTTGTAAAAATTACATATTAATTTTAGAATTGTTCCTCTTAACCGTGAGTACCATCAGGAAAGGCCTTCCAGTCCAGTACGGATTGAAAGAGTTGCTGAGACACTGGAGGACGATAACTCGAGGTAATTATAATATAATGGTTAGAGATTGTAGAGTTTATTATATTTGAATTGAGTCATTTTGAAGAAAGTGTTTTGTAAAAATTACATATTAATTTTAGAATTGTTCCTCTTAACCGTGAGTACCATCAGGAAAGGCCTTCCAGTCCAGTACGGATTGAAAGAGTTGCTGAGACACTGGAGGACGATAACTCGAGGTAATTATAATAATGGCTAGAGATTGTAGAGTTTGTTATATTTGAATGAGTCATTTTGAAGAAAGTGTTTTGTAAAGATTATATAATAATTTGAGAGTTGTTCTAGGGAATTCTGTAATTAGAAACATTTTCAGATTGATAATCATAAGCATTTATATATATATATATATATATATATATATATATATATATATATATACAGTACAGGCCAAAAGTTTCCGGACACATGAAAAAAATCTTATTTTCTGAGTTTTTAGCTATATTTTTCATATAAAAATAATTTTATTCAAGTTAGTTTTGTACATTCTACGTAGTATGAATATTTAGTGACTGATTTGTAACCAATTTGTGAGAAATGATAAACTAATTAGCAATCAAAATGTTAAAATGTCACTGCAGTCGATTTTCCTGAATATGACCACCCTTTGCTTTGATCGCTGCAGCGCATATTTTTGGTAATCTTTCGACGAGTTTCTGCAATGTTTGCGCAGGTATGTTCTTCCAGGACTCGTTAAGGCAATTCCACGGGGCAGGGAGGCTGCTTGGATGCAAATCCTTCACGCGGCGTTTAATTAGGTGATTGTGCAGGCCACTGCATTATTTGAAGTATTTTTTCGTCTTGTTTTCGCTTCAAATAATTGGCACAAAGTCAGGAAGTGTGTTTAGGGTCATTATCTTGTTGAAAAATAAATTTTGGACAAATTAAATTAAGACCAGATGGAATGGCGTGGCGCTGAAGTATGCTATGATACTATATTCAGGAAAATCGACTGTGACATTTTACCATTTTCATTGCTAATTAGTCCATCATTTCTTACAAATTGGTTACAAATCAGTCACTAAATATTAATACTACGTAGAATGTACAAAACTAACTTGAATAAAATTATTTTTATATGAAAAATATAGCTAAAAACTCAGAAAATGAGATTTTTTCATGTGTCCGGAAACTTTTGGCCTGTACTATGTTTCGATGCTTTTCTGACGCAACCTCGTATCTCAGAAACTACTACTTTTCAGGAGAGACAAAAAACGTTTTATAACGAATTTTTGAACTGCTGTTAACAATTTTTTTTATAAATTTTAAAAATATTCAATCTTGTGACAATTATTTGAGACAAGTATGATATTACAAACAATTAATCATTATTTTTCTTCAATTCTTTTAGATACGTGTTTGTCGCACGGAAAAAAATGTAACATACGTGGTTGCGTCATGCTGTTTTCAAATAAGAGTACATGAATAACTTTTTTCAATTGTTTTATTTTGAGAATCGATCAACATTTTAAATAATTCTTAATAAAAAAACAAACAATATTAAACTTGCGTTATATGTTAGTTTATAATTACGACAATATAAGGTAAACGTACACTATTCCGGGATAGTACATTATTACGGGAGTTTTTCATTTTGATCGCAAAATAAGAAAACGGTCAATAAATAATTATTTTATTCAATAGCACATCAATTATAATTTGAATCCTAATAAAATAGTACGATTTTCGAATTTAAATATTAGTTTTTGAAGCCGCAAAATGCTTTTGACAGCATCGGTCGTAACCCGATCGCTATTTCGTACTAGCTTGTTAGCGAGTTAGGTTATGTGACGGTTCCATTGCTTAAGGTTTTTTTTCGATTTCGATAAGCTTAATCGATTCAAATGTGTGAAATTTTTGATCAGTAATAATAAGAGATCAGTTTTATAGTTAAATCGAGCATATATTTTATCAAAAAATTGTCAATTTCTTGACTCCCGCAATTAGGTTCACACAACTGAACCAATGAACGTAATTCCGTGAGAATCCCGCAATTACGAGAAGTAGACTTGAAATAGTTTTATGTTTTATTTTCAACTGTGTTTAAATTCGGTGGTGTTTCTGGTGTTAATAAGTTCGTTAATGGCTACAGAATACTGTAACGTAATTACGGTATATGTTTTTTTTAATTTCTAACCCTAATAATTGAGTTTGAAATGACTACTCTTTCGTAAGAAAGTACACGATTTTTTTCACTTATTTGCATTGTTCCAATACACCTAGAATATTGTAGTAATGAGAGAATCATTTATTTCTACCGTTTTATCTGTGATCAATTATTTCCAATATATAAATTGAATAAAAATACAGGTATACCCCGTATAGCGCACGGTACTTATAGGGCGCGGATTCACTAGGGCGCTGGTATGTATGTATGTATGCAGAGATCTAGGGACATTCCTGAAAACACGATAGTTTTGATCTGATTAAGCTTTTGGAATATACTTATATTCTAAAACTTCTAAAACATACAAAATTCCCAATCGAACCTGATTTAAGCTAGTAGTTATTGTTAACTTGAAAGACAGATTATTTTAAAGCCTTTTATTTCAAGTTATTTTTTTTTATTTTGAGTTTAAATTTTATATTTATATAAAGTTTATATTTTTGTTTAATTGCCGTTAAAAATTATTCCTTTAATGTTTCATTTATTTGATTTACCGAAACAGTATTGATAATGATTATTATACTGCTATTACTGTAATAATACCAGCTTTTATTTTATTTTTATTTTAGAATTTTAGCTAGCATTAAAATTAAAATCCGAATCATTTTTCATATTTAAACAAAGAAATAATTGTAAATTTAAAAAAATGAACAAAAAAACTCTGCTTTCCTAAACTAATCGATTCTTTATACTGCAAAATGTTCATTGAATCATTCGAATCGGAAGCTTTGAAACGACTGGGCCTGTCTTTTCCAGAAACTAATCACCACGTCATCAATACAAATTGAATGTTTTTATATAATTCAAATCGGATACTCCGTTTTCTTAATAGGAAACGATTGCTTTTTGAATGTTTCAAATCGGTTGATCCGGGCTCCCGAAAACGTGGACAGAAAATTGTATCCACACACACACACGCACACAAACACATACATCCATTTTTTTAAGGTATGTCAAGTTATTCAGAAACCCCTGAAACGTTAAATATGCAAAAAGTTTCATTTTCAATTTTAGGAAAATTACTATAACTTGCGGTAAGTAAATAATAAATGTATTCATTAACTATCGTTCATTAAGTTTTAATAACAATTAACTTAATTGAATAATAATTTTTATTAGAAAGATTGAACTAAACAACATTGCTGACTTCGAAACTTTTTTATATACGCCACCATGTATTCTGAGATACGAGGTTGCGCATAGCACATTTTTCTGAATTGAGATACGTGATTGTATTTTTCTCAATAAAAAACGTTTGGTTGATTTTTTTTTTACAAAACTTCACAGATCTATGCGTCTATATTTAGTGGTTGATTTTCCGATTAAAACTCAAAATCGTCAAAAATCGAGTTACGAGGTTGCGTCAGAAAAGCATCGATATATAAGTATAATTGTATTGACTTGAATTGTAAATGTTGAATTTGAATCAAGTATCTATCTATCTATATTTATATATATATATATATATATATATATATATATATATATATCAATCCTGAACAAAATCTACAAATTCTAACTAAAGCCTTAAATAAATAAATAAATACACTTATCATAAAATGTGTTTTCTGAGCTTATAATTCATGTCAATTTCTTTTCATTTCAGACGTGAAATTGAGGCTCTTCTAAACATTATTCGTAATAGATCTAGAAGTGAGGACTGCGTATGCTGTGATCTTTGTCTCTCACTCCATCCTTGCACTCTGAATAGAGTTTGCAATCACATTTATCATTCGAGTTGTATTTCTGCAGCTATTGAGGCAAATTCTTTAATTTGTCGAGCTTGTGGGGACAACTTTACGCCAGATGATTTGGCAAATCAGGAACACATGGAAATGCAACTTTTGTATAGAATTTAATTAGGGATATATATAATAGAATATTTGTTAAAGATATATCTTTTGTTCTATGCAGAGTTGCGAGGGAATTTTCTTTATAGACATATAGTTTGTAAGAGATGGATTTTAATATGGACATTATATTATGGGGATTTCTAAGGTATGTGTTATTATTATTTTATATGTTTATAAATGCAAAAATTGAATTGATTGGTTATTAGTGAAAGCGAGAGCTTTATTTACGAACAGTGGAATATTTTTTTTTCATGAGTAAACATAATTATTCTCTAAATGCAGTAGGTACATCATTTATTAAAAATATATTTTAAATTATATTCTTAAATGTCTGTTAATAGTGTCTACGTATATTCCTTTTGGAAAGAGGTAACGTTGCGTTTAATGCATTAATTCTTTTTTTGGTCTGATAACTATTGTCTGAATGACAATATTTTACCAATATTTTACCAAAATATCTAAATCTCAATTCTTATTGATTAAGCTGTATCAGGAAATTCATGAAGCTTGTTTCTTTGAGGAATTTTTAGGAAAGGATATAAATATTTAATTAAAACGAAACTTTCAGGTTTTATTGTTATATATTTCAACATTCTTTTCAAATTTTTTCATTAAAATATATTTCATAATATGTCGGGTTCACACGCGATTGAAGTAAAACTTTTTTGCTATTGTACGAGATGGCATTTAATTTAAAAATAAATACATCATATAACATTTTTGAATAATGTTCATTAGTAATATGGTAACACTCGTGATGCACACATTTTTTAATGTCAACCATTATACACATTTATATAATGATAATTTATTAACTATATATTTATAATAGCATTAAAAATATGTATAATATTTGAAAACAATAATGTTAATTGAAGTCATACTTCAAATACGACATGATCAGTTTGTCATTGTAATTAGCATTTAGGACTCAAACCTTTATTAGATAAATGAAGTAATTGCTGATTAATAAATTCTATAATATTCGTTCACACAGTGGATTATGTTAAACAACGCCTAAACAAATATTGTTTTCACAATATCACTCATCATGTAATAATTGTGTTTGAAGAACTTCATGTAATTAAAATTAACATACATTCATTGACTGCTTGTATTTTTTTTTTACTTTTTCGGTGGCGATATAATCTCATTCTTTGAACAGCTGTAATATCTGTCTTGCCTAAAAAATATTTTCCACTTTAATAACTTCAACGATTTATAGAAACTACAAATAATATAGAAATAATTTCTAATCAATAAACTTACGTTTAGTTCACGGCACAAATGTTTAATTTGTTTTATTATTTTCAAGGAACAGGGTAAAATATTCCTCTGATTCAGGCATTTTTCATTAGATCAATATTTGTACTACGATGTAACTTTAAAATGTTTATTTATTATGCCAATTTCCTTGTTGATGCCGGTACGCATACAACGACAGATCTCTATTCACATACACGACGACTAATCACAATCGACCCGTATAGAAATGACGAATGACGAATCTTCGAATTGGCACTCGAATCTTCTTATCTGTCGTAACGCACTTCCGTTTCATTTGTACAGATTTATTCTCTAGTCGCGCCTAAAGAAGTTTTACTTAAAAAAACAAAACAAATCTATATTTTCATCAGTATAGATTCTAGTCGAACCTAAAAAATCCAGAAAAAATAAGAAATTTTCCAATTTTTCGCAACTCGAAAAAAAAATCTATTTTTTGATAAAAAATTTCACTTTAGACTGTTTACTTTAAATAGTAGGTTAATTATAACTTTTTTTTAAAGATGTTTTTTAATTTCAACTAGAATAGAATTTAATCCTGAATGTAATCAATTTTATCTCGTTTCCGTAGGATATCCAGTTTTTTTTGGTATTTTTCCCGCCAATTAGGTGAAATTGTAAAAATGAAAAACTGAGAAATCGCGCATCGAAGTTTTCATTCCGTTCATATACATGCTCACTATTTGTTCTATAATTCTGAAAATAATTTGAATTTGTTTCTGAAATTTTAGGGATATATTCTTGGCTAGTTTTGGAAAACATTTTTGCAAAAAAAAAATGATTTTTTTAAGCAGGCTTTCCCCTTAAGACAAAATATCACTTACAACTAAATTCGGTGGAAGTAGATAATGTTTGAATAGAATTTAATCTATATCAGTTTTTTTTATTTAAATAATAATTAAGGGGAATAGGCGGTATAAATTGCAGTTTGTTTTGTTAAATAAATATTGCATATATATATATATATATATATATATATATATATAATATTTAAGATTTACCTTTGGCACTATTTTTTGTTATCTTATCTACTGCACCTAGTTTTGGGATAGAGATTAACTGTTACTGGAATGTTTGACTAAAATCAATACAATTAACTCTTTTCAATTTATATTTGTATATATATATATATATATATATATATATATATATATACTAGCAAACCCGACGAACTCCGTTTCGCCACCAGATGGTTCGTGAGAATGATGAAGAAATTTTTTGTTTGTTTTATATTTGAAAAGGAAAAATTTGATTTTATTACACAACAGTAATGAATTTATTTCGATTACAAAAATGAAGTGTTTTTTAGTTGAACTTCTCTAAGTAAATGAAAGTGAAACCGCAAATTATCCGTTTCATTGAAGTGCTCTTTGGTAAACCTCATTTTTTGTTTTCTGGTCTGACGTTAACACCAACCAAGCGGATAGTATTCCAACTCGTGAACAGGCAACGCAACTCGGAATACTTTTAATCACTCAAAAATTAATTTATTTTTTAAGTCGATTATTTACACAAATCGGGAAGTTTATGTAACTTGCCTCAAGGCAAAATACCAATACCAAATAGTTTTGAATTTTTTTGGAAATAATAATACCAAATAATTTAAGCGCCGCATCGTTGTCTAACGGATAAACATTGGTACGGAACCCATAGGAATGTAAACAAAATTTATACTTATTGTTAAAATCTCTGTTAAAATGGCATTTTCTTTTACTTTTTTCACTAGATCTCCGAAACCGCTAGACCCGCCTTCCCAAAAATTTGACAATTCTTCTTGTCAATACAAGTAAAATGTTTTTTGAATTATTAAAATCGGACGCTCCGTTCTCTTAAAAACTGAGTTACCGTTATTGGCACTTTTTGCCCCGTATCTTCGGAACGGCTAGACCTGCCTTTGCCAAAAACTAATCAGCACGTATCCTTATCAATGCGAATCGAATGTTTTTTAAATTATTCAAATTGCTTCATCCGTGTTACCGAAATCGTCGACTAAAATTTGTATCCGCACACACACGTTCATTTTTTCTAAGGTATGCCAAAATGTTCAGAAGCTTTTGAAACGTAAAGATATATAAAAATTTTCATTTTCGATTTTTTTGCGATTACTGTAACTTACCCTACGGGAAGTTAATTAGTAAAGAACGTGAAAACTTCGATTCCGTTTCTTGTCCAGTACAAATATTTACCTACATACACCGCGATCCCTTTCCTGCCTCGCCTATGAATCTATTTTATTTGTAAACAATATTCGGCGACTTTCACAAAAATCGAGTGATTTTACAAAATTCTAGAAACCGTTTCGTCACCTCACCTGTCCCCTCTCCGCCGGCCAAGGGGGCCCCTAAATGACTCAATCGAATCAATTCACGTAAGTCCTTCTAGGTAATCTTTATAGAGATAACAATGACACAAATATTTCGTTTGAATCGGTGTTTTTTGATAATAAATTATGTTTTGTCATTCACGAGAACCGTGATACAAAGTTCAATTGAATTACTATTAGGTATAATTAATAATATCTCTGGACGGATCAGAGACATGAACTCTGAGGAAGACTGACAAAAATTATTTAGAGAAGATTGACAAATGTAGGTTGGCTGGAACTAGTGGTGTATCATACACCGTGTATGGCATCGTGCCTTGAGGCAAATTGCCGGAACTTCCCGACCCGTAATGAAATATTCGAGAAATTTTAAACGTTTTCAAATATATTATTACAAATACCGTAACTTTCATTATTTTTGCTATCTTTGTTTGTTATATATGAGCAAATCAAATGTCATAAATCATAAATCAATTTATCTCCAGAACATTAACAATCGTCATTTCATTTCGAATTCAATTTTAAAAAAAATAGTTTTCACAAAATTGAAAAAGTGCTCCCATACAGTTAAGTAATTTTGTAAGTATTAGTGTCAAGTAATAATTCAGATATTTTATTTATATAGTCTTGCTTTTCTATATAATGGTGATGTTGCCTTTATCCGCTTTAGTGACCACTATATCCGGATGATTTTTGAGAAATATTTTGCAAGCTTTAAGGTCTCTAAGAATATTATCGTAAGTTGTATTTTTAGTATTAAAGGAATTAATATGTGAGATGAATTTTTCATAAAAGAGATTTCTAGTGTGAATTTTAGTAATCTAGTGTGAACTGACTACATAAACCGTACGTGCCATAAATATTTAGACAAACTCACAGCAAACAAACAACTATCCAAAGAGATAACATCTGACCTGAAAAATTTACATCCATATTTCTGCAGACTTTATGGCCTTCCCAAAATCCACAAAAATAATTTACTTTTTAGACCAATAGTTTCAGACATTAATACCCCTCTATATAAACTCGCGAAATACATAAGTAACATCATAACTACAATAACAAAACAATCACCACACTACATAAAAAATTCTTATGAACTCGTTACTGACTTAAAACACAAGATAAATTCTAACAGATAACTCCAATCCCTTAAAACTTATAAACTCCGTAACCAGTAACAGACGAACATACCTTTTGAATAAAATGAACAATTCCACAGTACAAAACGATTTACCTCACTCAGAAACTCATTCTGGTGTAATATGTTTGTCATACATTAAAGAATTGTATGTTCCTTGGAAAAAACTTTTTTATAAATCTGGACTCCGACTTGTAACCAATTTTAGTACAACTACTAGCACTATTTTTACCAAAACAAAAACCCCATTTAATATCGAACGACTCAGAAATCTCGTCTATCAAATAAATTGTTTAGATTGTAATTTAATTTACATAGGAGAAACAAGCCAGAACTTAATGAAACGATTTACAACAACATAAAAACAATTAAAAAAATCCGAGACAATTTAAAACTATGATTGCGGAGCATATTTATACTTTAAAACACAATATGGACTTTTCCAACCCGACTGTACTACGAAACTTCGAACAAAATTTATTCAAACGAAGAATTATAGAAGGATCTTTTTTAACTATTTATAGCAATA